ATTTTTAATATTTGATAAATGTAATATTAATAAAAAATCAGGAAACATGAAATTTTTGCACATAATTATTTTTCATGAGGCCAGTTGACCAAATTTTTCAATTTCTCTTCATAAGTTACTGAACAATCATATTTTTTAAATCATCTACTTAAACCTATTCCGCTGGTTCATCTAAGATTAATTCCATTCATATTGTAAAATAGTAAATTATAAATCACGGGAAACTAATGTATAAATTGGAAATGATTTATGAAGTTACAAACAAATAAAATCGGAAAAACTGATCAAGTGATCAAACCAGTCCAATTCATTCAAACACCAATAAAATAATTGACTCACGGAAATATTGGAATATAAATATCCAACATTCTAAAATGTAACAGATGACCAATAATATTTAAACAAAAGAATTTTACATGACTCATGATAATTAGAAATTATTTGAAAATAATTCTAAACAGAAGGTTTAATTATTAATTGAGGAATATATTAATTAGAATAAATTAGGATTTCAAAGGAATCGTAGACCTAGATGATAGAACCTTTGAAATGTATAAATATGTTGTAAATTTCTCTTTAATTACTATCTTACCAGGGTGATGCCTTTGATAAGCATAGTTGTACATATTTCTTTATTTTATTTTTTGTAGGCAAACACCTAAACAGAGGAAACCCTAGCTAGGTGCGGTCAGTTAAAAAAACACTGAACTGTCCATATAAACACACCAGAAGTATCAAGGAAGATACTTGAACTATATTATAAAATATAGTTGTGACTAAAGTTGGCTCTGCAACTGATTTGAAAATTCTGCAACTGGTTGCAACCTAGGTTGCAACCCTCTGAGTTGCAACTAGTTGCAGATTTCTATATTAAAATCCTATATTCAAGATTCTGCAACTGGTTGCAACCTGGGTTGCAACCTCCCGAGTTGCAACTCCCTAGTTGCAGAGCCATCTTTAGTTGTGACATGCCGGAAATCATGCTGAAAAAGAGGTTAAAACACTTACTCTACAACTCATGGGGTACAGCCTAAATGAGCTGATTACTGCCAAGACACCAAAGTGTGTAACCAAATAAACACAGAGTCAGTAGGGTACTGACAGGGCAAAAACATATAAATAACTAAACAAACTCAAAGTAAATTGGATACTGTTAGAATAAAACATTATTATAAAGAAAGGCATACAATTACTAAAATATGTAATTGTTGTGAGACAAGGAATTTTCATCTCACAATATATATACTTCAATTTTAAAACAATTATAAAAAAACTTACAAAGTGAACATAAAATTATATATATAGGGGTAGGTGTATATGAAAAGTAATAATAAATGCAATGGTTCTAATGAATATCAAAAGGCCATTGATTTTTTAGAAAAAGGTTGTGATTGTGGTTGTTCTTCAAGAATCCCCAAAGAACAATTTGCAGAATTAAGAGAATCCTTTCAAGCTCTTTCTAAATCAGAACAAGACGTATTTTTGATGGCCCAACTTAAAGCAATGGATGGTGGATTAACAAGCACTAGCAGACGCCTTAAAAAGAAAACTAGATCTAATAAAAGAACTTTCTATCATTGAGATCACAATACACTTCTTTGTCAAGAAACTTACCTCAATATGTTGGGGATTGGTAGAACTTATTTTGAAAATATTAGAAATCACCTGATAAAGAATGGTCTTCTAACAAGAATTCATGGTAATATCAAAAGAATGCCTCAATGGAAAACTAAGATGATCATCAACAAAGATGTTGCTGAAGTGGTAAAGAATTTTCTAGAAAATTATGCAGAAGTTCATGGATTACCAAGTCCAGGAAGAAGTATCAATAGAATAACTCAATCAACTACATTCTTACCAGCTGAAATGAGTTATAAATCAGTGTACAGGGATTTTCTAGCTGGCCTGGAAGAAGTTAGTAATTTGAAATCCTTAAAATATGATGCCTTCAGAAAGTTATGACATCAATTGACACCAGAGATTCAAATTATGGGTCCAAGGACTGATTTGTGTGATACTTGTCAGCATTTTAGAGATGGTTTACATTATAATGCTCGCCAAGAGGAAGAAGCTAAAGATTTACTCAAAAGATTTAAAGAACATCTGTTCAAGGCAAGATTAGAAAGAAATTATTATAATAAAAACACCAAATTAGCAGAAGAACAAAGAAAATTAGTTGATCAAAATTATTTAAAGGATAAAACAAAATATTGTAGTATTGATGCTACTGCTCATTATAGTTATGATTGAGCTCAAAATGTTCATGTACCACATTTAAATCAACAAGTAAGTAAGATTTATTACCTTAGTTCATGTAAGTTCATTTATTTGGTATTCAAGATGGAGCAGTAAGAGAACAAATTAATTATGTTCTTGATAAAGATGAAATTATAGGAAAAGGACCAAATGGCACACTTAGTATGATCTTTGATGGAACTAAGAAATTGAATAAAGGTGAAAAACATTACTTGTGGTAATGCTGGGGACAAAATAAAAATAATGTAAGAATTTGATTTTATTTATATTTGGTAATTTGTGGTTATTATGAAAGTGTTGAATTGAATTTCATGATTCCTGGACATACCAAATTTAAATGTGATGGTAGTTTTGGCATAATTAAAAAACTCTACAGAAGAACAAGAGTAGATTATCTATATCATGTGGTTGAGCTGGATTAAATAAAGCTCAATGTTATGAAGGTGGAAAAGGTTTCCAATACTTAGATATTAAAGCAATTTTGGGAATTCATTTTAAGAAATTACCAAGTATACAGAAATATCAACATTTTCTTTTTGAAGCATCTAATCTTGGTACAGTAAAAGTTCAAGAAGCTGCTAATGGACCTTTAGCTGAATTCAATTTATTGAAAATCAAGAAACAGATATTTTGGAAGAAATTAGAGCTTTATCCATTTTAGTATTAATGCCACTTCCTTTGGACTATAAAATACAAGAATATCTTTACCAGAATACTCACCCATTTGTGAAAGATGAATACAAAGATATTACTAGCCAAGTTTCAGGAAAAATCTGAAGAATGAAGTAAAAAACAGAAACAAGAGTTATTGGATAAGATAAAGAGTTTAGAAGAAAAAAATTAAGCAGCCAGAAGAATGGTCAAATTGTTCAAATTGAAGTTAAAGAAACTAAGAAACGGCCTTGATTAAAAATAAGAAAGTAATTTTTCTTTGTATAATTGAAATTCATTCCAACTATCAAAAAAAATGGTAATTATTCTCCTTTTAAAGATTTTTGCTTTTTATTAGGTAATAATGCATCTTCGTGCTGCTTTCTTTTTCTAACATTTATTATTTTTCTTTCTTCTTGGTAAATTTCATAGGTAATTTTCATTTATTTTGAAAATATAAGGAGCAATTTTTTCACATTGTTCCTCTTTTAAAATACTTCTAATAATTCTCCGGTTCCATAGTAGGCCTAATGTAAATTAACTTTATATTAACTATTTTTATCTTGACAAATATCATTGGTAATGTAATTGTGATATTAAATAAATAATATTGATCCCTGAAATACTTGGTAATACCAATATTCGCTTTGTCTGGTTTTGTTGCAGCATGCTCCACATATATATGTAAGATGCATAAAGTATAATGATAGATTCTCGGATTACTGGACTGTTTGAGTATTAATACACTTCACAACGTCCTAAAAATTGTATATGAATTGTGCATATTATGCTTGTTCAATCATTGAATAATATTCAAAGTAGTATCATCTGAACCAATACAAACCACATATACTATGATTAATTCTACAGAAAACTGTTCTTAGTTAAGTTGATTGTTGTTATATAACATCTCAACAACAGTGTTGAAATTGGACGGTCGTATATTATTATGTCCAATTGGATAAAATTCTCAACTCTGCTCAAGTTGAACACTGGATCATTTTCTGCAAGCATTTAAATAAAAGTTTTGAGCAAAAAGGAAAAAAAAAGTTAATAAATAGAATGAACAATATCCATTTAACGCATCTTTCTGACTACTAGAAGCTTCATTGCCGCGGTATTTTGGGCTCTCATCCACTGAGCAACTTTATTTAAAAATCTAGTCTTACAACACCTATTATTGGAACACCGAAAAGTTTTTTGTGAATATGCTGTATTTATGTGATAATTTCCAATATCTTATGTATCAAACAATTTTCTGTATCCTCAAAAATTAAATCTTATAACTTCACGCATAATAAACTCTTCAGCGTTTTTGTTTGAAATATGTGGAGTTGAATAAGATAGGAACATAATGGAATTGATTTTCTTTAATAATGTTTAAAGCTGATAAAAATAGAACCAGAAAGGACTTTCACGCCATCTATAATCTTCCCAATTTGTCTGCATATCTTTTTAATTTATTCCTTGCTTGTACTAATTCTCTTTAATAGTGGCCATCTTATTTTATGAAATTTAATAACGAGCAGATCTTGTTATTTCAATAATATGAAATTTAAACCAGCCAATCAAAATGAATTTTGCACCCAAACACCCTCCATATTTGATTTCATTCACATAATCTCAATACAACATGTATATAATAAGGAAGAAGAAAAGCATGTTAAAAGAAATAAAAATCGCTGTTGATCATTTTTGTCCAATCACAAACAATTTTCCGGTGTGACTTTTATTATTGCATCGTGCTACAAATAAAACTAATTCAAAATTACAGAATTGCACAAAAAAAAATTTTAAATATTATTGACTTGGAAAAAAAAATTTATGTTTTTCATATAAGTTATAATTTGTGATAAATAAAAAAAGTTGGTTGATTTTTTATTAAAACAATAAAAAAATACATATATTTAAATATAATCAAAGTAATTATTTTTTTATTATATTATTTTTTTTGTTTATAAACCTAAATCTATTTTAATATTTAGGTTGACCAGAACAACAAATTTTTAAAAATAAATAAATCGGTGAATTTGTAGTATTTAAACATAATAATATATATTATTATTCATTATTTAGGGAGTTTTTATCTAAAAATGCCTACCAACAGTAACATCGTCAAAACAATCAATAATCCTAATCGGTTTGGTCCACAACCAGGTGGTAGTTTAATGAATCGAACAGGTTTGAATTCTTTGTAATTTTTGAGGAAAACCAAATTAAGAAATAAATTATTATCCTTTAAACAGAAGAATTATTATTATTACTGTTATTAAATAAAATTTATTTGTCCAGTAAAAGAGAATTCAATGATATATTATTATTATTTTAGTACCAAACCCGGCTCAACAAGCTAACCGTCCAGGACCCATGAATTCTGCATATTTATCATCTTCGATGTCTCAAAGAACAGTTGGAGCAACGCCAATGATGAAGGTTAATGGAAGAATTGGTATGAATTGTTTAATTAATTTTCAAACCATTCGATCTATTTAATTATTACAATTTATCCATTTTTTAGAAGATCAAAGGTTTAGAAAATAAATCATTTATTTTGAATTTATATTTATCTATCTATCTAATATGTATATTATTACTATTATATAATTTATATAGGTAGTAATAATGTAGCATCATGGAATTATACACCAGGTTCGTTAGGTTCAACACCAAGTATTACAACATCGAGACAACAACAATTACCTTTTACACAATATCAGAATGCAATACATACTCTACATCCTCAGCAACAACTACATCATCATCAGCAAAATGATATATTAGATCTATCTGAATTTCCTGCTTTAGGTAGCAGTAGCAGTAATAGTAGTAGTATTACGTCCAACAATACTACTACCAATATGAACACGTCATCGAATAATATACCTCAGCAGCAGCAGCAGCAGCAACAACAACAACAACAACAACAACAACAACAAATGAATTCAAGTGGATTAGGGTCGTCTTCAGAACAAGATAAAAAGGTGTGTATATTACACTTGAAAAATATGTGTATATATATATATTAAAATATTATATAAAATATATATATATACATGTAAAAACATTGAATTTTTGATTTAATAAAATTTAGAATTATTCTACGAAAGTAGGAGGCAATGTATCAATGATACAACCATTAGCTTCTTCTGGTGTACCTAATGCGTACTCGATAAACGTACCTGAAACTCCATCATTAACTTATTCCTCGACAACAACACCATCCGCTTCATCAACATCTTCGTCGTCATCGACAACGATATCAACAAGCTTACCTAACTCTGGGCCATTCCCGCCGTCATCATTATCGTCAGGTATACCGAACTTACAATCGAACATGGTGATAGGTGGAGATATCAGCAACAACATCAATAATACTAGTAGTAACAATAATACTAATAGCAATAATAGTAATGGGATAGTTGTACCAAGTGGACAATCTATGAATTCGACAACATCAACATCTGTAACGACATCAATCGATGGATATGGATTACTTGGACTATTAAGTGTAATACGGATGACAGATCCTGATTTAAACATGTTATCATTGGGCAGTGATTTAACATCACTAGGTTTAAATTTAAATTCACCAGAGTATGTACTTATATTATTATTATTATTATTAAAATAATTAGAATTATAATACATAATAAGAAAGTATTCTTAATAAGTAATATATTATTTTATATAGTCCACTTTATGCCACGTTTAGTTCGCCATGGGCAGATAATAATCAAGCTATTGGATTTATTGAACCCGAGTATCATCTTCCTACATGCTATAATGTACAACCACCACCACCTGCACCACAAAAAATTGATTAAAAAACTCTACAGAAAAACAAGAATAGATTGTCTAAATCATGTGGTTGAAGTGGTAAAAAAGTCTAGCCCAGCTGGATTAAATAAAGCTCAATGTTATGAAGGTGGAAAAGGTTTCCAATACTTAGATATTAAAGCAATTTTGGGAATTTATTTTAAGAAATTACAAGTATACAGAAATGTCAACATTTTCTTTTTGAAGCATCTAATCTTGGTACAGTAAAAGTTCAAGAAGTTGCTAATGGACCTTTGGCTGAATTCAATTTATTGAAAACCAAAAAAGCAGATATTTTTGAAGAAATTAAATCTTTATCTATTTTAGTGTTAACACCACCTCCTTTGGACTATAAAAGACAAGAATATCTTTATCATAATATTTGCCCATTTGTGAAAGATGAATACAAAGATTTACTTGCCCAAGACCAATCTATACTGGCAATGAATAAAATATTTAGAATAGAATCACCTCTATGACTTCATCACTTGTTAATTTGTTCCTTACTGTCATTATGTTTAATAAGTTTAATCTTTTGTTAAATATTGTTAGCTTTTTCCACATTTAAAGTAAAAAAATACTAAAATGATTATATACTGTAAAATAGTAAATTATAGATCATGGGAAACGAACATATAAATCAAAAATGATTTAAATGTGTTACGAAGTGAAAATTTGGAAGCGATTATCACGGAATAACTCAACAAGAAATAAACCAGTACAATTTAATAAATGTTACACTAATTAATAAGATGCACCAATGAAATAAATAGCTCTCAGAAAATAACCCAAATATTAGAGAGATAAATATTCCAACATTCTAAAGTGTAACAGATTACAAAGTCTCAGAATAATATTTAACAGTCACAGGACATTGTGGATCTACAGGGGGTCAAGTGTCACTCACTAATAAAAATTTTTTGATCAACACGGAATTTTACAGTGTGATTCAAAAAAAATGGTGGTTTGTAAAATATTGTTTTTAATGAAAAAGTAGCCAAAATTATGTAATAA